CAGGTGCCATGATTATAGTTGCAGTGATCAACTTGTCTTTTAACACATTGAATGCAAGCAAGCAGTCATCAGTAAACAAAAATTCTTGATCTTTCCCTAACAGCTTGCACAATGGTTTTGCAATTTTTGAAAAGTCTTTAATAAAACGACGGTAAAATCCAGCATGTCCTAGAATACTCCTCACACCTTTAACATTTATGGGAGGGGGTAATTTCTCAATAACAGAGATCTTGGCCTTATCTACTTCAATCCCTCTGTTGGACACTTTGTGTCCCAGAACAATCCCCTCTGTCAACATAAAGTGACATTTCTCCCAATTTAGCACAAGATTGCAATCTTGGCATCTTTTCAAAACACAATCCAAGTTTTGTAAACATGCATCAAAAGTAGGACCAAACACAGAAAAATCATCCATGAAAATCTCAATGCATCTTTCTACCATGTTAGAGAATATGGAAAGCATGCACCTTTGAAAAGTTCCTGGTGCATTGCATAGCCCAAAAGGCATCCTCCGATATGCAAAGACTCCATAGGGGCAAGGGAATGCGGTCTTTTCCTGATCTTCTGAAGCCACAGCTATCTGGTTATAGCCAGAGTATCCATCCAAGAAGCAGTAGAAAGCATGTTCTGCCAATCTCTCTAGCATCTGGTCCAAAAATGGAATAGGGAAATGGTCCTTCCCGGTTGCTTTGTTGAGTCTCCGGTAGTCAATACACATCCTCCAGCCAGTCACTGTTCTTGTAGGGATCAGTTCATTATTCTCATTTTTTACAACAGTCATCCCTCCTTTCTTGGGTACTGTTTGAACTGGACTCACCCAAGCACTGTCTGAAATAAGGTAAATCATCCCAGCATCAAGCAACTTCACCACCTCCTTCCTCACTACCTCCTTCATAGTGGGATTGAGTCTTCTCTGTGATTGCCTCACTGGTTTGACTTCTTCCTCCATTAAGATCTTGTGAGTGCAGAAGGAAGGGTTGATACCCTTAAGATCTGAAAATGACCAGCCCATGGCTGTCTTGTTCTTCTTGAGTACCTCAACCAACTTCACTTCCTCCCCTTAGACAAAAATGCATTGATAATGGCTGGGTAGGTTTCATCATCCCCAAGGAACACATACTTCAAATTTGAAGGTAGTTCTTTCAGTTCCACCTTAGGTGTTCCCTTAGGAATGTCATCCATCTTCTTTTCAAGCTCTTCAACTATTGGTTCCTCTTGATAAAATTCCCCACGCATTTCTTCCATACTTTTGTCTTCCTCCAATAACAGGTCCTCTTCTCCTGTCACTTCTTCCACAACTCCTGTATAATGTCAATCCTGAAACAATCCTCCACATCAACAGGATGTTTAATGGCTTCAAATACATCAATTGTAATTGTCTCTTCATTCACTCTTAGCATCAGCTTCCCTGTTCAACATCAATCAGGGATCTAGCAGTTGCTAAAAATGGCCTCCCTAGCAGTAGAGGGCTTTCAGTATCTTCTTCTTCCATATCTAGAATAACAAAATCCACTGGAAAAATAAACTTGTCCACCTTGACCAGAACATCTTCAACCACACCTTCTGGTCTTTTGATGGATCTCTCAGCAAGGTGCAATATAAGATTAGTATCCTTCAGGGTGTTGATTCCCAAGGCTCTACATACAGTCAAAGGCATCAGATTTATACTGGCCCCCAAATCACAAAGTGACTTCCCTACTTCCACATCTCCAACGGCAATAGGGATGCTGAAACTTCCAGGATCTTTCAATTTTGGTGGAAGCTTCTTTTGGATCAGGGCACTACACTCTTCTGTCAAAGCCACTGTCTCACCATCCTTCAATTTCCTCTTCTTAGACAGAAGATCCTTTATAAATTTGGCATAGTGAGGCATGTTCTCCAGGGCCTCAGCAAATGGAATGTTAATCTGCAACTTCTTAAAAATATCCAGAAACCTTGCATAGTGCTGCTTCTGGATTTCCTGCTTCAACCGTTGAGGATAAGGCACTTTAGCATAAGGAGATAGGTTAATTGGTTGGTCCTGCTTGTCAGCCATCTTCTTCTTCTCCCACTTCATCAACTTCTTGGGTGAAGAACTTTTTTCAACCACTACCTCTTCTTCCTTCTTCTTTTCCTCAACTTCCTCTTCTTTATCATTTTCAACTACAACATCTTCAACAACAACTTCCTCCTGACTTTTCTTTTCTCCCACTTTCTTCTCATCCACTTTCTTGTTCACCGGTTGGAGCACAAGCCCACTTCTTGTAATGATGGACTTGTTGTGCTCCTTTTGATTCACCATAGTATCACCAGGGAACTTTCCCTGTGGCCTCTCATCTATCTGCCTAGACAACTGACCAACCTGTGTCTCCAAATTCTGGATGGATGCTTCCTGGTTTCTTAATGTTGTCTTAGTCTCCTGCATGAAAGCAGAAGTCTCTTCCCTGAAAGAATTTGACCCCTGGATGTAATCTTGAGTAGTCTTTGATAACTGGGCAAAAGTTTTCTCCCATGCAGTAGTATCACTTGGCTGTGATGAGTGTGTTGGAGGAGGATGTAGTGGAGGATTCAACGGATGGTTGGAACTATAATTGAACTCTGGGTGTTGATTCTTGTTCTTCCATGGTGGCACATACACATTTCGCCCCTGGTTATTGTAATTCCTCTGGTTGTTATGGTCATAGCACACTCCATTAACTTCTGCTTGTTTAGCAGGTCTCCCACAATCACAATCATCTGTAACATGGCTTTTCTCACAACTGGCACACACAGAATTAGTGTCCACAGAAGAAACCTTCTGAGAAGAAATCTTCTTTGTGAGAGAATCAATTTGTTGTTGTTGTTGTTTCTGCACTTGCTGCATCTGGTCATTCTTGGCTAATAAAGCATCATAGCCATCCAATTTAATAATTCCCATTCTTCTGTCATTCACTGGAGCATTGTCAAACTCCTGAGATGCTAAGGACTCAAAGATGTCCAGGGCTTCCTGAGGAGTCTTGGTTGTCAATGAACCACCAGCTGTGGCATTCACCAATGTCCTAGTAGTGGTTGTCAACCCCTGGAGGAAGATTGCTGCTTGATTCCACACTTCTATCCCATGTTGTGGGAATTTCCTCAAGAATGTCTTGAACCTCTCCCGCGCCTCATAGATAGACTCTAATTCTTTTTGCTTGAACCCTGTAATCTCATCCTTCAACTTTGTCCTCTTGGCTGCTGAAAAGAATCTGGCCAAAAACTTGGTCTGCAGGTCATCCCAAGTTGTAATACTTTCTTATGGTAGTTATTGTAGCCATCTCCTGGCATCATCCTTCAGTGAATGAGTAAAAAGCCTCAAAATAATGGCATCTCTGGACACTCCATTAATCTTCTTAGTGTCACTTAACAGCAAGAAATTTTCAATGTGCAGGTATGGATCCTCTGCACTTGTTCCAGCAAACTGTTCTTTCTGCACCAACTGTACCAGTGCAGGCTTCAATTCGAAACTATTGGGCTCTACTGTAGGTCGAACCACACTTCCAATAGGTGGAATGACAGCAGGAGTCATGTAATCTCCCAGTGTCCTCTATGGTGGTTGCACATGGTTTTCTGCCATATTATCTTCATGTACTGTAGTACTTGGTTCACCACTTGGTTCTTCCCTTTCCAGTAATTGCCTTCTTCTGGCTGCCCTCCTGTTCCTTCTAATTGTCCTTTCTAACTCTGGGTCAAACAACAAAGAAGTTGAATCAAAAGTACCTTGCATACACCAGAATTAAAATGGAACAAAAATTCATACAACAAAATATAAAATACTGAAAATAAAAGATTCAATCTTAACAACTAATGATGTCTGTCAATGTTGAAAAACAAATTCCCCAGCAACGGCGCCAAAAACATGTTGCCAGATTAGCAAGTGTACTAGTCAAACAAGTAATAAAATGATGAGTAAAGATCGTTCCCACGAGGAATTGTGTCAAGCACTGACTAACCAAATATTGTTAAGTTGAATCAACCAAAAGATTATGAATTGCATTTATTTCTTGTCACCAGAAATTAAATTTGAATAAAATTAAAGAATTGATAAACAAATAAAGTGTGAATATAATTTAAAACAAGTAGTCAGATGTCAATTTCCCTCAAGAATGAATTTATGGATGAACCAAATTCCATGATGAATATCTACTATGTAATGTTGATCAACCTTTTTCTTATCATCCAGATGTAATGTCTTACTACCTTGATAGACACATTAATTAGAAACCCCAATGTCTTGGTGATTCCTTTCTTAATACATGCATTAATTACTAAGGTCTTAAGATCACATCAGAAATCCTAGCATCAATGTCTTGACTACTAGAACACTGATGATGAAGTTGTCAAATATAGAAACAATGTAAACATGTCTGTTCTACACTACTCCTTAACATGAAGAATTAATCAAGACAACTTCATACAAATCACATAATAAATAAACAAGACATCTAATTAACCATTCATAAATTCAAACTTGAGTTCCATTGAATCAGACTGCAAAGAACTCTACTCAGACATAATTGAAATATAAACAAAGGAAGAAGAAAGATCAAACTCCATTGTCATGATAGTAAGTCTTTAATCTTCAAGTGCAATTACATAGGAAACTAACTAATACAAGAACTAAGTCCTAAAGAATTTGTAAAGTAAGAGAGAGAAGTCAGATCAGAGGATCTGATATGGGTGAGAGAGATAGAATTAGAGATATGACAAATGTGAAGGCCCTTGCCTTTTATAGTGTTACAAATTATAACTAAAAACTAACATGAGCGCTAAAATGTTCATGAATGGGCGTTTTAGCGTCCATGTTCGACGGATGCCCAACTGCTTTTAACTAACTTGAGCGCTAAAACGTGAACTGTTGAACGTTTTGGCGTCCATGTCTGGTGAATGCTCAACTGCTTCCAACTGACTCCAACGCTAAAACACTTGGTTTGGACGTTTTAGCGTTCGAGACCAGAGTCTTTTTCCAACAGCAGGGAGCTAAAACGTTTGATCAGGAAGTTTTAGCGCCCAAGACCAGCAACTTTTGTCCTCAGATTGCAAAACATTCTGTGTGAACGTTTTAGCGCTCAGCACCAGCAACTTTTGTCCTTCGTTTGCAGCAGCGCGCTAAAACGTTCTGTGTGGACGTTTTAGCGCTCAACACTTAGGCATTCTCCCTTTCTCCAGAATCTTCTTCTTTCTTTCTGCTGCTCCTTAAGCTTAATTTCCCTACAAGACAGTGAAATTTTTCAACAAAGCTTTAACAACTTGTACTTGAGGGAATTCCAGGACATTAACCTCTTTTTCATCCAATTAATCACACAAATTGATACTAATTCATGCTGAAAAACCTGATGAACTAGGGGTTTATCAAGACCCTTGGGCCACTGGCCCTCACATGAGTTGGTCCTAAATTATAAGTCCAAAGACTCTTCTAACTCACGTACCGGTCCACTAAATTTATTAATTCCCATATCTTCTATGTGTCGTAAGGCTTTCTACACGTTACTATTAAATTATTCCCACACTTTTAACAAGAATTTCAAATGCCTTAAATAAATACTCTCCCACAATTATAATTCAAATAATTCCCTAGTTTAGATTAATTCCTCCAGAACGAAAATATCTATATCATTCGAGGGCAGCATTCTACAACATTCCTAATTACAATTATATATATATATATATATATATATATATATATATATATATATATTCCTAATTTTACGGGATGTTACAGTGGTGGGACTCACCCCACTTGAAATCACTTAAGACACATAAGCATTTCACTATTCATTGTCTTCTCTCTCCCCTACTCCCCTCAAAGAAATCGTGACAGCCCCCTCCCCCTTCCATTTTTGTTTTTTGTTTGATTTCTTCATAACTTCATCAATTCTTAACCGAATCGGACGATTCTTGTCTTGAAATTCGATGGGAATCACCACCCGAACCCATTCCACTGATTAGTTTCCCTTGAAACCCTCTCTATTGTGAGAAAAGATCCATCTAAGGCCAAGAATTTCTTGGAGAATTTGTGATTTTGAGGTTGATTTCTTAAGCCATTGCTTGTGGAGTTCTAGGAGGAGTCTTGTGACGTAATTGTGGGTAAGTTCAAACACCTCTCATGGTTTGATTTGATGATTTATTTTCATGAACCCTAAAGGGGGTTTTGTTGATTTGTGTTGTTAGAGAGCTCAAATAGAAAATGTGTATTAGATGATGATCTCTTAGAATGATGTGTTAGAGCTATAAATGCAATGAAAATTATTGATGAAAAATGTGAATTTTTAACTTAGAAAATTTTGAGGATGTCATGACTTTGAGTTTGAAATTGTTGTTAGGATTGTATAATGGGATTGTGGTATGGTTGTATGATGATATAATAGGATTGTATGAGGTGTGGAGTAGTTAGAATTGATGGAAATTCCTTGGGATTACACCATTGTGCAATTCGGCCATTAGACAAAAAGAGGGAAATTTATGTTGTTGAAATTGATTGGATGATGTATTATGTGTTATATGGTAATTAGATGGGTTGTGTGGTGGTTTGAAGGTTGGAAAAACCAAGGGAAAAATATTGATAGTGTTGAGTGGTTAGGTGGAACCTAGAGCGAAAGATTAGGCAAAACGACGTTTAGATGACGTAAAATAAAAAGTGGCACTTGATATGGCCTTTCGGCAACCTTAGGATGCCTAATAAAATGAGAAAGAAAATTTAGAAAAATAAAATGCAAATTTGCACTTGTATGGCTAAACCTACAAGGGTGTAGGGGAGGTTTTGACATTTTTCGTATTCTGATGGAATTGTCGTGTACTGACGAGTCGTACATGGTTGTTGTAGGTTGTCGTACGTCGATTTGAACCCTGAACCGTGAGTCGATGGATTGCCCTAGGTCCTGGACCAAGTGGGATTGAGGTAAGTGATTGGATCATGCTTGTATAATTGTTAACTGGCATGTGTTCGTTTGAGTTTTGAGTAATTGGGAATGTCCTCTGTATAGGCATTCTGTTGAGTAATGAGCTCAGAGAGTATACTGCTATGGAGCTAAATGGAGGAACTTATTAAGGTAACCTCTTGGTACTAGGGCTTGATCCCCTTGTGTGTTCCACCATGCCCGTTGAGGGTGATGGTAGGAAGTGTATGAAAGTAATGTAGAATAACATGATCATGCATTTATTATGTATGTTAGTGGTACACTAGATGTACCGAGTCTCTGGCCAGTAGACAGTTTTGCCTTCGGGCGTTTCGGACTTCCACTGGATAGGTCTCCGAGAGGGAGTTCCAGTTGACCTAGGGTCGTGTGTGATCCGGATAGGAGCACACTAGGAAGTCTCGGGTGTATGTGGATGGGAGGGGTACCTTGGTTGGATGTTCTTGGAACACGCCTTGGATGAGACCCGTAGGCTTATATGCCGAGCCATTAGGCAGGACGTTGCGTGGTATTGGTAGCTACCATTCCAGCTTCGTCGTATTTTGTATCCCTATATCCCCCAGTTTCTCTAAATCCCTTGCTATATCCCATTTTTAAAAGTGTTATTGTAAATTATTTATATGCATCGAAGTGAGCCATTGGGCGAAGTTTTCTCCAGAACCTCTAGGTTACTGAGATATATTCGTACATCTCACCCCGTCTTGGGGGCTTTATTTCAGGAGGTAGCAGTGGCACAGGAGCGGCGGGCAAGAAGCCCGTAGGATGAGTGTTGGAGGACACTTTTATATTTTGCATTTTGATGGCCATTGGACCTAGGCTAGACTTAGGGCATGAACATTCCATATGTATGTAGGAGGAGATTCATAGTCATATTTGTTCATGTCATTTTGCCTAAGTCTAGTTGTATATGTCATTTAAAGTTCATGTTTCAAATTGTAATTTAAAGTTCTGAAATTGTAAGTTGTAATATGTTGTAATTGTACATGGATACTTGATGTAATATGATGGAAGGGCTTTAGGCCTATTTTAGGATTATGATTATGTGAATGCTTAGAAAATGCATGTAAATGGACTTTGATGATTGAAACGTATTAAGTATTAATCAAGTGAGCAGTATGATATGAATTGTGTAATAACTATAAACTGAGTTGGGTTGTAAGTGCTCCAAGGCGTTGTTAGTCCTTGTGTGTGCCACCCATTGATTATTAGGTACATTAGAGGTCTTAGAACACATTTGCAATTTGGGGATTTTGGAAAAAATAAAGGAAACTCTAGCGAATTTGTTGTAGAATTGGCAGAATTAAGGCGAACTTCGGGAGAGCATATCTTCCTCCACAGAGGTCTGATAGGGACGTGACATACGTAATTTTGAAGCTTGCGATGTCCTCTATATTGTGGTAAAATTTGATAGAATTATGGGTTTAACGTCAGCCTGGAGAAGGAAAAGACTGCAGACTGCCCATTTGCTCACTGCACTTATGGCAGTTCTGGACCGGTTTTGGGAAATTTATTCCCGCTTCTTTTCTTAGTTAGATTAAGTGTATGATATGTCAAATTGAAGATTGAGGTGTCTAGTTTGTGGTATAAAAATTTTAGAGAAATTGGTTGAGTTTAT